ATATTGCAGTGCAAAATGTGTTCCCATACACACATTTAATTGATTTTTAAGAATATTTTATGCACATGCATACTTGTATGTCTAATAGGAACTTTTTGAAGCCGGAAATAATTGGAGAACGACAAAAAGCCCACCAAAATTTACACGAGGGCCATTATATTAGTGCTACTTCAGAGTTAACAGTTTTACAATGGTAGTTTCTCTATAATCGACATACAGAGGGAATGATAAATTCACTCAATAGCTGCAGCATTACTCAGCTCAGAGTCGTGAGGAATGTTCCAGAATGCACAGAGAGGTTTTTCTGGTTGCCTTCAGCTACCCAATGGCTGGAGGCACCAGCCATGTTTCAAGATAGTTGTTGTTAAGATAATGACAGCTTGACCAATACAGTGAAAATCACTATTTCAGATTATAGGACATTATTTATTGAGATCTGTCTCAGATAGGACATGGAAGTCCTCAACACCTACACACGGAAGCAAGTGGCACAAACTAGATTAGTGTCTATTTTCTGACTTCTCAAACAGTCCCAGAAAATGAAGAAAGAAGTTTTTCTTCCAAAAATACAGTCACCCAAAACAACTCCCCTCCTTACCAGTGAGGAAATGCTCAGAGCAACATTGATGTTCCTTCTTCTGGGACCATGAGATTGCTCAGAAACAAGAGGTGCTCTGAACAAACTACAAAATCACTCCACCTTCTCCAGCAGAAATAATATTCCCCCAATAAAGAATTAGAAGGAAAACAGAAAAAGCCTTGCTAATATGACCTCCGGCATGTGTAGGGCACTTCAATCCTGCAATGACTAGGATTCCAAAAGCTCTCTGAGGAACAAATAAACCCTGTGTTTTTACAACATGATGGGTTAAACACAGCGTCAATATGAAAAACTGCAATTTCAAAATGAAAACATTTTCTGAACTGTCAAAATAACTCATCAGTTTGAAGTAAATTCTGAAAGACTCCCAAAAGAGTCAACTTATTACCAAAGAAAACTGATTAATAAGTCTAGTATTGATCTGGCAAAAGCCTTTGCCATTCCCTTTGAAAGCTCTCCCCACAGCAACACACCGGGAATTCAGCAGGATGGCCCCCAGGGAAATCATTAAAGCAAAAATAATAAAAGGAGAGAAAAAAATGAAAGAAATATCAAGTATTGACTCTGCGGGTTTCTGAGTTCTCCTCTTTCACGTGAATTAATGTGATGTTCAGCAAAAAAAGAAAAACAAGCTGTCCATCTAAGGGAATGCATTATTCCTTGTAAGCACAGGGATAAACCACTGGTCTCCAATATCCAACTATTTAAAGCACCTACAATAACATGGGATGAGGAAAAATTCAAATGAACTGATGCAAATACATCCACAAGGATCCAAAATTAAAAACCCAACACTATTCTGTGTCCCTCAGAGGAAGATCTGGGAATTTTCCTGTGCTCAGATTACTGTTAAAAGCATCACTGGATTTATTCAGACCCAAAAGATCAAGACTGTTGGGAAAGATGTGATTTAGAGATTCAGGCCCAGCCTACATGTCTGTGGTGAGGAGTTCAGATGTTTCCATATAAATGGAAATGATCCACGTGAATAGATATTTGATAACGCTGCCTAACGGAACTTCATTGCATTTTCAGATGTTTCCCCACCGGGTTATTGAAATTCTTGCTACTGGAAGGAGAGAGGACTCACCAGGAAACCTGCAGCTTGTTCTGAAAGGCATCAATGTGGCAAGATTAAGATTTGCTCTTTCCCACCCCATTAGGACTCAAGTGAGGAAAGAGATTTATCCAGCTGAAAGCACAAGGCAAAATTAGGAAGGCAGAGTGTAGTCGAGCTAATTGTGGTTTCCTACACCAACCAAAGCATAATTAACAACAGCTGCCTATAAATATACATTTTTTTTTCCCCGTCTGAAGTTCCGCGGACACTTTTCCCATTCATCTGCAGAGCTCTACTCTGCCATGGACACCTGCCAGTCTCCAGCAACTTTAGGCAAAGATCAATCCATTTTCTAATTAGAGGTGTGAATTAAGGGAAGGTAAAATATCCATTGTAAATACAGAAGGCCCCAAACAATGACTTCTTGACATAATCTAATGTCAACTGTTTCCAAAAAAAAAAAATGAAGAATGCTAAATAATCAAGTAGCAAGCTGCCAGGGAGGTGTGTAGAGGGAACTGTGAGGAGCTGTGTTATTCTCTGTGTATGTTGATTAGAATTTTAAAGAAAATGTAATGTCTCTCCCAACCCTATTTTCCCACTTATAACCCAGAGCATGAAATCTGCCAGGCTGTATCTTAGATCCTCCCAGATGCTGATCTCACTCAGCTTGGGTGCTTGAGAGATAGTCTGCAATGTTACGTCTGCAATGTTACTTTCCTGAGAAGGAAAAGGAACTATATCAGTGCGAGGTGAATCCCTGGGTTGGAGAGGTTTAATACACAATGCAGGTTTGGCTGAGCTAAACTTATCCTTCCTTGCAGCTTCCTTCCTTCCTTGCAGCTGACTCCCACTTCCTGTAGAAGAGATAATTGCCCCTTCTACTCCCATCCCTCTCTGATCACTACTATGGATGGAAAATGTAAAAGAAATGTTTATCACAAGTGAATTATTTTAATTTCTTGTAGCAAACCAGAAGAAAAGCACCAGCCTCAAGCAGCCCACCCTGCAGAAAGCAGCCAATGACTGGATCTTAAAACAACTGTGTAGGCAGAGCTGTTTATTCCACTTTGCTTTCCACTCCATTGTATCAATGCATTTATTTACTCTCTTGCAGCACTGTGGATCTATTTCATTATGCTGGCCAATCTTTCTTTATATTATATTGTGGTAGTTTGGTCTAGGCCTTCCTTGGTGACCAGTTTGTAACCAAGGAAGTGCCCAGATTCACCCAGTATTCCCTACGATTTTTACGTAAGCCGGGCTATAAGAAGAAAGGAGGGAAGGCCTTCGCTCTCTTTCCTTCCGGCAGCTTGGAGGTGCGGGTTTCCTGCTGTTGAGTCTGTCGTGTTGGGGAGCGAGGCCTGGTAAGGCCTTGTCGACCTTGGGAGATGGAGGTTGCCGGCGGTTGTTCCAGCGCAACTTTCTGTTGTCCCAAGGAGAGTAGTAAGATATTCTTTTGCTAATTCTTTTAGTTGTTAGATCTTGGGCTATTGATCGTGTATATTTTATTTTGGTTTTGTTCCTTTTTTTCCTTTCTCCTCCCCTTTCCCTTTTCCCTTTGAAATTGTACATATATTTCAATTGCATATAACTGTAATATAAGTGTAAATATATATATATATATTGCTTTAGCTGTCTCTCTCATTTCGGTTCTCTTGGTTTTTTTTCCTCTTCGCCCTTGGTTTGGGGGGGAGTCTTGTGGTAAGGTTTGGGGACTTGGCAGGGAGCCAGCTTCAAACCATATCATATATATAGAGAGAGATGCAGCGCAGAGTTGTCTCTTTCAAGAGACACAAGATTACTGCTGAAATCATGGGCTGCACTTAATCAAATGTGAGAGAAGATTAGATCTGTCCTAAAGATTTCTGCCAAGCTGAGATCTTGGCCAGTCAGTCCAAATACAGCATGAGGTGCTTATGAGGCTAAAACACCTCAGTGATTTCAAGTGCCAGACAACACACCGTGCATCTCCCAGAACTGGAGAATCAGCTTCTCTTGCCAAAAAGAACCTCACCGAAAGAAAAAAACGTGGTATTGCTAACCTGAAATAGCAATATTAAAGCAAGATCCCAAGGTACAGAAGAGCTGTTTTTATCATGATGGAAATTGTACCTGAAAATACAGGTAGACTTCATGCCCTGAAATACAAACTTTTTGCCCTTTATTTCCATGAGGTGTTGCATCTGAGAGTGCAGCCACAGTACAGCCAGCACCCCAAGCCAAGGGCACACCCAGCCTCAGCCAGCACCTCCAGCCTAACAACAGCTATATTTCAGGGTTACCAAGGTTGGAAGAGACCTTTAAGGTCATCTAGTCCAACCATCAACCAAGCACCACCACTGTAACCCCTAAACACCTAAACCATATCACCCAGGCCCAGATCCAGATGCCTCTTGAATGCCTCCAGGGATGGTGAATCCATTACCTCCCTGGGTGGCAGAATCTCTCCCTATTCCAATGCCTGACTACTTGAACAGTGAAAATTTGGTTTCTAATACCTAATCTGGATTTCCCCTGTCTCAATTAAAGGCCATTCCCTCTTTCCTCTCACTGCAGATGCAGCAAACAGACCAGACCCCACCTCACTACAACCTCCTGTTCGAGGGGGGGGGGGTTGGGGAGGGAAGTTGTACAGGGTGATTCTGTTGCTTTGAAGAGAAAAAATTACAGGTGTCTTGAGAGCCATCTGTGTTCATCTTCTGGGATATGATACACTGTCCTAAAGGTAAAAGAGTAATTTAAAAATAACGGTAAAAAAGTAAATTTAAAATTACCTACTGTTTCTCTTGGCTTTTCTGTTCTAATGGCAAAACAGAGCTGTGGCTGACCAGGAGCATAGGATGCTTTTAGCAGAAGTCATTGTAACACTCCACGGCCAGCCCTTTAACCCGTGTTTTTGCAATGATTTCTGATGTTTAATATGCGTAACAGGCATGGCTTGGTGTGGAAGGCCTGGTGGAGGGACTGGGAAACCTCGTGGTGTTCCCATTTAGAGCCTGTTTTGCTCTCCCCCACGCCTAGCCCAGGACAGAGCTGATGGCCATGGGACGTGGGGCTGTCCTGGGCTGGCTGTTGGGCACCAACGCTGTCAGTAAAGTGCTCTTTATACTGGTTTGTAGGGAGGGTCAGGAATTCTGGAGGTGCCTGGTATATCGTTGTTATGACGAGTCTCCTCTTTTCGAGACTAAACCCCCCCAGCTCCCTCAGCCGCTCCTCACCAGCCGAGTGTTTTAGACCCTCCACAAGCCTTATTCCCCTTCTCCGGATACGCTCCAGCGCCTAAATGTCTTTTTTAGAGTGCAGGGTCCAGAGCTGGACGAGGTGCAACTTCCCACCTCCATCACAGCGGGAATGTTTCAAGGCAGGACCGGCCGCCTCGGGGGCGGGACGGCCCGAACTGCCCGCCCCGTGCCCGCCCCGCTGCCTGCCGGGACCGCCGCTTCCCGGCCGGGGGAGCCGGGCTGGGTAAGGAGCCGTCCCGGAGGGGGTGAGGGGGGTAGAGCAGCTCCCAGAGCCCGTGAGGGGCCGAGAGGAATGAGGGGGAGCGGGGGGAACACAGATGAGGAGTTATCGGGCACGGAGCTGCTGGAGCAAATCCAGAGGAGGCCACGGAGCTGCTCCGAGGGCTGGAGCCGCTTTGCTCTGGAGCCAGGCTGGGAGAGCTGGGAGTGTTCACCGGGAGAAAAGGGCTCTCCAGGGAGACCTGAGAGCCCCTTCCAGGGCCTAAATGGGCTCTAGGAGAGCTGGAGAGGGACTTGGGACAAGGGATGGGGGGACAGGGCGAGGGGGAATGGCTTCCCACTGCCAGAGGGCGGGGTTAGATGGGATATTGGGAAGGAATTGTTGACTGTGACGGTGGGGAGACTCTGGCACAAGTTGCCCAGAGAAGCTGTGGCTGCCCCATCCCTGGAAGTGTCCAAGGCCAGGCTGAACGGGGCTTGGAGCAACCTGGGCTAGTGGGAGGTGTCTCTGCCCATGGCAGGGATGGGACTGGATGAGCTTTAAGGTGCCTTCCAACGCCCCTGCCATAGGCAGGGGCACCTTCCCATAGACCAGGTTACACAGTGATTACAGCAGATCGAACTTTACAATTGTAAAACTGTTTAAAATTTTCTGAAACCAGTTTTATGTGCTATTTATAAGTATACTTACAGTTTATTACAGTTATCTGCTGCTATTTTGACAAACAGCTGCTTTCACTGTGGAAATGAGCGAGTATCAGTTGCATCACATATTATGAAACATTTCTCACTCAGCCAGTCTTATGACTTGCCAAAATTAATTTTCTTGTTCCTTAACCCTCCCCATGCTGCTTGTGCAGCTGCCACCTGGGTCAGCTGGGGGCTGGAGAACTAATTCACTGTGTTTGCAATTCCTATTGTTTTCTTCAGCACACCAGACCTTAATAACCACTGACTCAGTGGTAGTGTGAGGAACTACTTAGTGTTCATTAATATCTCCAGTTCAAATCAGAACAATTCTTTTCGGTTTTGGCACCACGAACAAAAAGGAAACCTCTGGACTTATAGATTTGGGACTACAGCTGAGTTTTGGACATCTAGCCTTGGGAAGGAAGGGCTGAATTTGTTTTAGGGGCACAAAGTCTTTACAGAGTGTGCAGAAAGATTTTGGCAGTAATGGGGCGGGCGAAACAGGCAGCAGAACGTGGTTCAGTAGGGAAATGGCCAAAGTCAGCACCTTTAAACCAAAGCTGCCTAAACCCCAAGTACAGGACAGAAAGTGCCTTTTTCTACCTACTATTATCACACTGGGTTCCCATCTCTCTGGTGGAGGAGCTGTGACTGCTGCCAGCATCTTTCCAGAGGGGTGTTGCCCACATATTTAATCTCCTTACTTAATGGGAGTAGGGAAAAAATTGGAGCAAAATTATTTGGGACAAAGCTATTTAGGTCCTTAAGTTCACAGGAAGAAGGGGTATTATTCTGATTTTAAAAAAGGATAAAATAAGTAAGAACAAAGCTTTCAAATAAATCTGTTGCGTGATAGGTTTCTGTCTGAGGCCTGTTTTGTGACTGGAGCTTGTATCTGGAGAACTTTATCTCTTTTTTGCTTTAGGAGCTTGACTCTTCATTTGAGAGCAACAGCTAGCTCATGCTGGTTTTGTTTTCTTTTTCATTTTCTAGAAGAAGTCTAGGCAGAAAAAGGAGGTTTTGTATTTTGGAGTGGTGAGAGGCCACAAAATCTGAAAGCAAAAATTTACCATTTAATTTTTTTTTTTTCAAGAGGACTGATTTTGTCCAAGTGTTCCTGTAATTCACTGCAGGTTTGAAAGGAATGCTGCTCAGGATTCATGGCTAATGCTCGGTGCTGATTGTTACTGTGCACTTACCCTGTGGATCTGAACTTGTGCTTTGAAGGTGTTGCCTTGATCCAGTGGCTGAGTTGTGATTTTATCCCCCTGTTGTGGGAGCTAAACGAGGTGTGAGCTGAGCTGTGACAGCCCTCAATACGTCCCCTGTGCTGTAAGTAATCCTGTCCCTCTCCCTGTGAAATTCCACTTGTTTGCTGTTGTTTTTTTCTTGCAGTGTTACCCCGTGGGGACTGTCCCTTCAGACAGCTCTGGGAGCCACAAAAAGGGGTGGATGGAGTTGAGCCAGAGTTACAACAGCTCTACTTTGGACTACTCAGAAGATACCTTTGAGTCCTTCAGTGAGGAGGAGGAGATCAAACCATCTGGCTCCTGCTGTCTCACAGAGGATTTGGAGGGCTCAGATGTGTTGGAAAGCACATCATGGTTGGCAGGCCAAAGTCATGCAGGTATGCAGAGCTTTCCCTCCCAGAGACCTCCTTTCTCAGCTTCCGATCAGTGCTCTGGGGACTTGAATCAGCAAAAATAAACATGCGAAGATTGCACACAGTGTTCCTGCTGTGCAGAGGAACAGACCCTCAGTGTGCTGACCAGATCTGTGCTCCCAGGATTCGCCAACAGCTCCATGTGGAACGATTTGGCCATGGAAGCCCTTCCTTTGTAATCTTGTGATGCTGAAATTCTGTTGGCATCTTAAAAAAAAATATTCCGCAAGTTGTCTTGACTGAGTTACCACATCTGAAAAGTAGCTGGGCCATAAAATAAGTTTTCCAAGGGAAAGTTCCAGGATTTGAAATACTGAGGAAGGCTGGATTCCCTATCCAACCTGGCCCTGAGCACTTCCAGGGATGGGGCAGCCTCAGCTTCTCTGGGCAGTGAAGAAGCTGCATTAAATGAGGGATAAATCAGCTCTGTTAGGTTTTCTTTTCTCTCTGCAGGGTTCTCTGTCATTCTCTTGTGTTCTCCTTTTCTCCAAGTTTGGAGTGGTAAATATTGTGGATACTTAAAGAGATGAATAATCTTTTAATTTAGTTTGGGAGCTTGCAGCATATATAAAACTTTATAGCTTCAAAGATTAGCTACAACACTTTTAATGTATTTTTAAAGGTAGTGTAAACAAGATTTATTTTAATGTCTGTTGGCTGTTAGTTTTGTGATCTGATTCTATTCAGTTCAGCTTGGTCAGCTGACATATACCAATATATAATGTTAATTATATATTATAATTATATATATCTTATATATTGTAATTATATATTATATAATAGATAATGTTAAATATAGTTACTATGGTTTCATATTGGGAAGCTGTTTCTTTTCCTACTATAGACAAGTCCAGTAGAGATGTTCTTCCTATCCCTCATCCATCCAACATTTTACTTGAGGTTTTTTTCACTCTACAGTAAGAACTGACACCATTATCATTAGGGATCCTTTAAAAATACTGTTTAAGCCTGAAATGCCACCCATGGAGGCCAAACTTTGCTGTCAAATACATATTCCTGTTTATTGCAGCACAGAATTCAGCATTGGAGATCAGTGCTTCAAAAATCTGAATAAAAAGGTGATCATTGTCTTGGTATCAATTCATGATACATCCCTAAAATTGAACAGTGTCTGATTTGTATTTTTTGCTTAAAATTTTTGTAGTTTTACAAATGATATGTTTTAATCCCTATTTTTTTTCCTGGAAATATAACAAGATTCTTTAAATTATTCCATGTCTAACGATTGAAATCCTTATGTCTGACATCAAGGAACACATGCTAGGAGCAATCCTTACTGTGTGCATAGAGGTTTCTTTAGTAAGTGTTACCACTTTTTTATCTTTACAAGATTAATATTTCATAAAATAAGAGAGTCTTCTGAATGCTCTCAGTTAAATGAGAAACTGGGGAATAATTCACAGAGAATTTTTTTGGGGGAATTGATTGCTTTCTGTGGTATATATTTTCCTGAGAGCAGCATATATAAATAATAAAACCCACAGAAAGCCTGTCATGCTGCTGCTCCCATAGGGACACATTATTTCCTTGTCTAAGGCCGTGGAATTTGCTGTCAGAACCCTGAAAACAGAACAGAGAAAGGAGATGCTCCCTGTTTTGAATTGGGGCCATACCATGTGCACCTTGCTGTCACTGGTAGGGACTTCTCAGACCTTCCAAGTGTTTTGTCCTTTCCCAGCTCTTTGCTTTCACATCTTTGTGGTTTCCTTAGTTCCTGCAGAACTGGAGTTCCCAGAATCACAGAATATTCTGGGTTGGAAGAGACCCACAAGGATCATCGAGTCCAACTGGAACAAGCTGGAGAACAGGGAGCTGATACAGAATTTTTATTTCCCTTGTGCCACCTTATTTTCCACTTGGATCAATACCCTGAGACAGTTCAGCTGAGCTCCTAAGAGTGCGTGACCACAAAAGAAAGAGCTGGAAACAACTGATGGGGCTGAAGGAGGGAGGAGGGAGATGAGATTAGTGTGACATTACAGATCAAATTGAACGTGTGAACAGGCTCCCATTTTCTCAGTGAATCCTGGTTCAGTGGGGTGATTAGGAATGAGCAGTGGAAGGTATTTTATGGGACAGAAGCTTGTTTAACTGAAATCTCTGGTCTCATCTGTGTATTCCTGTGGCTTGGGGTTTCTTTTCCCTCACCAGGGCAAACTGGCACGTTCAAGTGGAGCATTGTTTGCTTTTCTGCAGTCCTGCTTTCCTCACAAGGTGTGTTCAAAGTTGCCTTTTTTCATTGCAGAGGAGCAATCTGAAGGAGTGGATTCTGCAGCTCTGGAAAGAGTTGCCATAGGAAAATGGATTGATGCCATGGGAAGATGGAGAGATCTAAAAAATAAAGAAGCGGAGGTTAAACAGGACAACTCTGTCAGGAAAACTCATGGTGGTGAGTTCAGTTACTTCAGTAGAGGTTGTAATCATTTCTTTTGAGAGGGGATGTAAACTTTTAACTAGACTTAAATTTTATATGCAGGCTGTTAAGCTGGATAATTAGCCAGGTAATTAAATACAAAGTTTCTCTTTTAGGCTTTCTTGCCAAGCAGTTTTTCTCCCATACACACATGGCTTTGATGCTCCTGATATAGTGACATTATCCTAGTGATGCATTATCACAGAATCTGGATAAACACATTAAAAAAATGTATCCACATTTTAAGTTTAACTGTAATCCTCAATTTTTACTGGATTGTTAAGTTTTTTTTTTCCTCTCCAGCTTTCTCTTTCAGCTCCAGTACCAGTACAGGTATTAGAACTCCAGTACCAGTACAGGTATTAGGAGTGTGGAGTTTTTCCCTCCAAAACAAACGTGACTTTGGAATTTATTGTGTGAGATGTTTTTCCCCTGTGTGCTGGTTTAAAAGTAAACTGGCAGGAGAAATGAACCCAGCTCAAGAGAGATTATAAATCAGAGTTACAATTTAAAAAAAAATAATACAATAAATACAATTATACGGGCAAACAATTGGTTTTAACCCACAAAACCCAGATGTATAACCCAGCACCCTGGGGCATGAACAGAGTGGTGTTTGTTGGCCCCTGTGCTGAGCCCCACCTGGTCCCCTGAGTCCAAAGGAAAAGGAAAGGAGAACCTGTTGGTGAGAGTGGTGATCGCAGTCTGCTCGAAGTTCTGATCCTCCTCTGGATCCGATGAGTGGTACCAGAAGTCCCAAGACCCCAAGATTATATACACTCAGGTTCCAGTGGGAACGCCCAGTACCTCCCCCAGGGCGGGGAGTTCCACAGTGGGTGACGGTGAGTGGTGAGATATTTTTGGAATCCTTGGTAGCCCATTAGCAGACATGACCCCTCAGGCTGGGTGTGGAGGTGCTAAAGACTCCCCAGAGGGGAGTTATCACACCTGAGTCATTGGTGTGAGGACAGGAACATCCTCCTATCTCACAGGCTTCCTGACACTCAGCTTATAGCCTGAGGGGTCAGGTGTGCTCTGGGCAGCTGCTGCAAATGGTCTGTTGTTAAACGGTTCCTGGGAAATGACATGGAGGGTGTAGAATACACAGTTTGGGTTACACCCACACAGTGATGAACTAGTCCCAGCTGCTCTAACTAGGACACCCTGTTAATCAGCTTTATGGATTATTGAATTACCTGTTTGCCCTGTTTTAATTCCTTTCCCAAGCTGAGGGAGGCAGCAGGGCACCAATTTTGGCAAGAACAATGGAGCAGCTTTAACCACCACAATGATGGAGAGTGTGGAGGAGGAGGAGAGGGGAAGGAAGGAAGGAAGAGGATGCGTTTCCGTGTACTGGTTACACAAGCAACTGTGAGAGCAGATGGTGGGATGCAAGTCCTGCTAAAGTCTCTCTCAAAAGTGTGTCAGAGATGCTATTTTTAATTAAAAAAAAAAAAAAGAGCAAGAAAGCTGGAATTGAGCAAAAAATTAGTGGAAGCAGACAAGGAGTCTTCCTCAGTCTGTGTGTTCATGGGAAGTGAACAAGATCAGGGGTTTTGTAGGTCACTTGTAAGACTGATTAACCAGGAGATCCTCCTGCCTAGGCACTTTGTGGCACAAACATCCTCAAACCATCCTAGAAAAACAGGAGCTAAGGTCATTTCTAGGCTGTTCTTAATTGTTGAGCAGTGGTGAGTCAAAGCTGTGAGTTCCTGACTCATCTCCTGCATTTATCCTTGTGTTCCTGCTTTCTCAAGGCTACCAAGCAGGCTTTTAGTAGAGCAGCTCATCTGTAGTAGAGAGGCTTCTCCTGGCCAGCTCCTCAGAGATGATATTCCTAAAATACCTCAGAATCCTGTGGCTGATTCACGGAGAAATTAAAAGGGACCCGAGGAGTTCCAGAGTCACTGAGTGAGAAACCACAGTTTGAGGTTGAGGATGTTTTCCATCTCTACTTTCCCTTGAAAGTTGCACTTGGAAGATTTTACTCATAGGATCACTTCCAGATTTTTGTAGTTCTGCACAAGAGAATGTTCTGCCTTTGGTGTATGGATGTTGATGGGTAAGGAGAGGCCTTGAGCAGTTCTGTTCCATTGTCTAGTGCTGATTTATGAAGGCATGTGTTGTCTTCTGCCTGTGCTGTCCCTTGTCGTTGTTACACCAGTGCTCCCAACCACCATCAATATGAAGAGCACAAAATATGCTTCATGCTTATCCATGTTACCCCCAAATTCATCAGTATCAACGATACTTTAGCCATGGACTACGTGTCTTGCAGAATATTAACATACAAATAAAGTAAAGCACAGCAGCTTTTGCACACTGACATCTAGAACTGCCTCCTCTTTGACTTAATCATTCAGTGTGCAGGAGCTCCCAAGCCTTATACTATTTTAACAACTTGGAGATTTTTAAACAAAAATATAATAGAAGATGAGCTCACTAGAACTAGATTTGCTGCACAGTGAGTCCCCTCAGTACACTCAGCAAAGTGAATTATGTGTGCACTGAGCATGCAGGGTACTTCTGAATTTGTCTTCTTTGTAATAAACCCTTTTTTTCTTATCTTCCTAATAGGGAGGGAAAAAAAAGTTCTAGTGTACCTATGGAAATGTCCTGGAATGTGATTCTTATTTTTTCCTAGTTTTCTCTGTGGGCTGAAAGAAGAAAAAGCTGAATGCTGGCCTTAGGAGAAGGGAGAAATTTTTGTCATAATTCTCTTTCTATCCTCTTCTCTGTCCCTCTTCCACCAGAGTTATTAGGCAAAATGCATCACAACATGACTCTAAGTCCCCAATTCCATATAGATTATTTCAAAGATCACTACTCATCTTTAGAATTTACTCAGCAAACTGCAATTCTTCAACTTGGACCTATCTGAAAATTCAAGGGGGGCTTTTTAACCCTGTGAGTGGTGCTGTGCTCACAAGTTTGATCTCACCTTTGTAACATGCCTACATTAAATGCTTTGCTTGTTTATTTTCCACTGCACTATTGCTGTCAAAAGTGAGAGAGCTTGAGCTGGTAATGTGTGTTATTTGGAGGCAAAGAAATGTTTGTGGCTCAGATACAGTTCAGTCACTCAATCGTTATTGTTACTTTGATAGTGGTGTCAAGCTAAAAGTAAAAAACGCCCTGAGATTCCAGACTTGTCTTCTGATTCTGTAGTTAAGTAGAATTAATGTAGGCTGGATGTGGAAATTCCAACCAGCAACACCTAAATGGAAACCCTGCTCCGGAGCCAGGCTGTGAGAGCTGGGGGTGTTCACCGGGAGAAGAGAAGGCTCCGGGGAGACCTGGGCCTAAAGGGGCTCCAGGAGAGCTGGAGAGGGACTGGGGACAAGGGATGGAGGGACAGGACAAGGGGGAATGGCTTCCCACTGCCCTCTGGGCAGGGTTAGATGGGATATTGGGAAGGAATTCCTGGCTGGGAGGGTGGGGAGGCCCTGGCACAGGTTGCTCAGAGAAGCTGTGGCTGCCCCTGGATCCCTGCAAGTGTCCAAGGCCAGGTTGGAGCAACCTGGGCTACTGGAAGGTGTCCTTGTTCATGGCAGGGGGTGGGACTGGATGATCCTTGATGTCCCTCCCGACCCAAACCGTTCCATGATACTACAATGATTCACTGTGCTGGAGGAGTTTAATTTGCTTTAAATTCATATTCGTGATAAATAACCTGATAGTTCAGCCTGGTAGGTCAGTTCTATGTTGCCTGCAGGGATCTTTCACAAACTGTTTGCTGTCAGCATGTTACCCTGACCTGCTGCACTCAGTTGTACAAATCACTTCAGGTAATCGTGAAGATCTTGAGATGCAGAGGGAAAATCTTTCTCGAGGGTAGTTACCAGTTGCTGCCTTTCACAATTATCTTTTTTTCCTTTTTTTCTTCTTAAAATAGAGTATCAGCAGAGCATAATAATAACAAAATGCCTGCCAATTTTCCTATTAAAGTTAGTTTCAAAGGGAAAGGAAACTGAGGAAAGACTTTTCCTCTTTTACTCCCGCCCCTCACAGATTTAAAATGTCACAGAAAGCAAAATTTATGTAGGTCACTTAGTTACAAAGCTCCCAGCAGGGTTTGGGATCTAGACATATGGATTAATTTATCTCTAGTGGTACACACCAAGGCTGTTTGTCATCAGAGCAGCTTCTTGGGCCACTATGGGGCTTTACTTCCTAAATATTCCATGTTTCGTGACCTTCCTGCTGCGTGAGATGTGGCTCTGACTCGATGCCTGTCCTGGTGGCACTTCTGCTGCTCCTGTCACCTCTTCTGCATCATCCCTCCTTCAGTCACTGTCACTCATTTAATCGTTATTGTTACTGCGATTGTTGTGTCAAGTTAAAAATAAAAAAGGCCTTGAGATTCCAGACCTGTCTTCTGATTCTGTAGGTAAGTAAGAATTAACATGGTCTGGATGTGGAAATTTCAGCCAGAAATGGAAACCCTGCTTGTAAAACGTTCATTAATGCCTTGATGGAATTGGGAAAGAAGGAGTTTCTTCCAAAAACCGTGGATTCTGGGGGGATCTTCCCTTTGTCTTCTCACTGCTGTTGCTGCAAAGTGAAGAAGGTGTGGGGAGCACTGGATTTGGGGCAGCCAAGCAGTAGGAAAGTGTTCTTGTGGAGCAGTAATTGGCACTGCAGGGATTCTCTGTGGGCACAAGGCAGGGACATTTAAATCTGCCACCCCAAATGGAGAAGGATCTGGGATGGAAAGGAGGGAATATGTGAGAGATACCAGAAATAAAATGAACCAGTGCAGAGCTGAAGGACAAGTAAATCTTCTCCACCTGGGAAAAAATTGGAAACTGGAGTCAGTGTGCAGAGAAAAGACAAAACTTTCCCCAATTTAACTGTGTACTGACTTTTCTCATAGGTTTTTTTTGTTCTTTTTTTCAGAAAAATTATAGTCCTTGATAATTTTTATTCTCTCTGAGATTACTTTTAAATGGGAATCAATATTAAAAAGTAACTTCAGGAACGAGTCGTGCAGGGAGGTTTAAAACTTGCTGTTCTCTTTGCTGGTGTTTTTTCTGATGTCTGTAGGTGCAGATGAGCAAAGGGGTGGGTGTGTGGCAGCACAGAATTCATGCATTATTAGAAACCAATTCTTAATAAAAATGCACTTCTGTATGTCAGGAGAACCTTAAGTGAATTAATTAGGCTGGTATTAAATTGTCACAGCCTCCAGGGGTTTTACTTATGGCTTTGAGCACTTAAATGCTTTTGTTCTGGGTTTCCCCCCCCCCCCCATAATGGTAACTTTTAAATTTTTTTTAATTAATTCTCTGCACGGCATAAATGAACATGCCCCTGTTTTTCAGTGTAATTAAACCCAGAATTGGCACATGATTTGCACTGTCCGCATTGCAATAGTAAGTAAAGTCACCTGCTGACTGAAATGGTGGTTTCCACTCAAATGTTTATGATCCTGCAAAGCAAATTTGTTTTCATTAAATTGCATTTTAAGGTATTGCTTATTCTGATTCATCTGTCTATAAATCGTCACCATGTCTTTGTCTACAGTCAGTTAGATACGTTATCTTCTAAGGAGGAGTAAACTGCTCTGTGGTGTCTGATTCTGAACTGGTAGTTGTACTTAAATGACATATTTTCCATGTTGTCCATGAAACAAAACTCCTGCTTTGCTTCATTTTAACTTATCCTTTATAAACATCAGCTGCATTTCTGAAGAGATGCCGAGTTCCCTTGCAGAATTCTACAGCTCTGTCTTGTCTCCTCAAGACTAAATTCATGCCGGTGCATTTAGGGGAAGTTTTCCATTCCTGCTTTTTTAAGAGTGTGTGTTGTGGTTATGCCAAGATGTCCCATGGCATTGGAATATCCCATGGCAATGGTTGTCAGACAAGCACCAGGAAACCTGCAGCGCCTGGCTAGGAGAAATAAACCCAAATTTAAACCTGACAAGGAGTAAAACAATGTGGAGGGATTGTTTAAGTTCCGTAATCAGGCCATGTACAGCTGCACAGCATCATTCCATGCCGATGCCCATGAAATACTGTATTGATTGTGGTTTAAGCCTGTGGAAAATTCCCCACAAAGCACTGAATAAAGTTGTAAATCCATCCCAACCCACCCACCTGAAGGATAATCTCAATTTTATTTATTTTTACATGCCACTGGGAAGGATAAGAGAAGATGAGAGAGGGGAAGATGTTTTTTAAACAAGATCTTATAAAGAACAATTGTTGAAGCTTTAGGAGAAAGTATTTTCTGATGGAATTGCCCTTCTCCAAAAAAAGAAGTGCCTGCCTGAGGTTGTAGAATCTATTTGAGGTGTTTCCAGAGTGACTTCCACAGCCACTGCCTCTAATTTTTGTTATGAATTGCTCCTTAGAGGAGCCCTCTTGAAGTGTTAATTCATTTTGGTTTAGCAACCTGCAGTTTCAGGTAGGAAGAAGCTAAATCTGTATGAGGCAGTTATTGAAAGACAGGTTACTTAATGTCATAGTATTTAACTACTGATATTTAATCTGTATCATTAGTAGCCTCATTCTTTCAGGTTCTTTTCTGCTCCCCTATTTGGAGCTTATTCATAGAGACATTTATTGTGCAAGTTCCTGCAGTTCTTATCCGGATTTTATATTTATTTTTATTTTATATGTATATATAATTTAGAAAAATATATAACATACAAAAATATAATATATAAAACATATTATATCTAAAATATATAATATATAATATATATAATATATAAATATGTATTTATGTATAAAAAATCTCCTTATACCACGTAAGGAGTCTTTCTGCTGTGCCTTTTGCAACCGGACGTGCCTATCTCGTACTGGCCTTATTAGCCTTTTTAGCGTGCTTGTAACAAACGTGGGTAGAGCCCTCCCCAAATCTTCGTTCGCGAAGCCCAGCCATGATGATGATGATAAAAAAATCCATCCTAACCCACCCATCTGAAGTATAATCTCGATTTTATTTATTTTTGCATGCCACAGGGAAGGATAAGACAAGATGAAAGAGGAAAAGATTTTTTTTTAAACATTATATGTATATAAATAGAAATATATATTAATATAAAATAATATATAAATATACATTAAATAAAGATATAAAAATACAAATAATATATAAGCTATTCTATATTGGTTTTATACTATATAATAAATATTTTATTATTCATATATATTATATAGCTAATGTTTATATATCTAATATTTTTATATGTATTTATTTTATATCTATAAAGGAATATATAGAGAGATATAGATAGATAGATAGATATAGATAGATAGATATAGGAAGGAATATCTATCTATATATAGATATATAGATATATAGGTATAGGAAGGAATTCTTCTCTTTCCTTGATACAGTAATTGATGGGTTTGTTTTATTGACTTATGCCTGACAGAAATTCTTGAATTATTTGATGGAGAACTGGATGCTCTCAGGTCTTTTTGCACCAGGAAGATAAATGGGATGAACCAGCAGCTGAGCCCTGAGCAGGGAAACACGGGCAAGGCAAGGAAGCTGCAGGACGGAGTCCCAGCAGTGAAAACTGGGACAAGAGATGGGAACTGCATTGTTCCTGGTCAGCTGATGAACAGAATCCTCCTGGAAAACACCAGAGAGACTGTTAAGCAGGTGAAAGCCAGGGAGATTTTGGCTAAAGCACTGGATAATAAAGCCATACCATGAGGATCAAATCAAACAGAGCTTAGTGATGCCTCACTCAGGCCTCTGAAAGAGCTTCTGGGTTGATACCCCAGCATTGATCTGTCTCCTTTCTTAGACACTCCTGCTAGTAAAGAATCAAATCATCATCAAAAACTGGCTGCTGATAAAGTAATGCTTTGTGTGACTGAGCCAGGCTGGGATCATCAGTTATTGCACACCCAGTAAGCCCTGGATCAGCAGAAGAAAAAGCCTTGTTTGCTGGTTATGTTGGTATCAGTTATTTATCAAATTATTCTGCATATTATTTGCTGTGAAGTCTTTGTGATTCCAGGATTAGAAGTATTCCAAAGGCAACCCCTCTGCTCCCAGCTTTCTTAGGTATTAGGCAATATTGAAGAATTAAAGCAAGTCCAATAAAATCTTGGTGACCTTAGTCCCTTGATTAAGAAACATCTGTATCACCTTTACCCAATTCCAAGTGCTTTTCTTTTTCACCAGCCCAGTGGGTTTTCCCACCACAAGATGGGCTTTTTGCCACAGCTCCTCCCCTCCCTCTGTAAAAGTAATTAAAGTAATACTTTATGAGGTATTTAAAGTAATACTTTAAATTCAGTTTTGGTGTGAAAAGTATTTCTGTTTAAATCTGTCTGTTTAAATCATTTTGAGATTTCAGCCATCTGCATTTTTTCACTGTATTAACGTTAACTCACCTTCCAAATTTTGTAGAATTTTTACTTTCTCTTTATTTGTCTTATATTAGAAAATATATTTTCTAAATATATTTGGTTTATATTAGAAAATATATATTTTCTAAGAAAAGTAACTGCTCTGTTTGCTTCTGGCTTTACCTCCACACACATTTTTATGCAGAGAAGAAGTCAAGGAAGAAGAGGATAGAGAGGCTTGAGATGTGACTTACCAGGATTATTCAGCTGCTTTTGGAGCAACTTATTGTGTTTATGTAGCCAGATGGAATCAGTGTCAATGAAATCAGATAAAACTATTGATATTTCACAAAAGCACAAACACTGGGGTTCGTGTAATGCCGTTAAATACTCTTCAGTTTTCATGGTGGATGAACTAACACAGGAGTTACTGAGTAGAACTGGTTATCTTCCAAAGAGAACTGTAGGATTTTGTTTGTATTCTGCCTCAGAGCTGCATATTTGAACTAATTGCTTCAGAGTTTATTTGCCTCTTAGAATTTGTGAAGAGAATGACAACCTCTGTGGTTGGCGTTGGAGGCCTTGTGAACACTGCCAGCATAGGGACAAGCACGTCGAGATGGTGGAGTTATTGCTGACTATGAAAGAGTTTGCCTAAAAAGCCAGTTTTTGTCTTTAGACAGTCCCTCTATCTGTATTTTTATTGATTATTCTTAAGGAGTGGCCATCTCACTGGGACAGACATTGCTCATTGCACCAAAGTCTCCTCTTCCAGGTGACAGAAGCTCAAATCCACAAAGCTTCATCATGCCCTGACTGCCAGAAGAAGGAGGCAGAGCTGGCCAGGATTGCCTTTGTCAGGCAAAAAAAGGCTCTGATGGGAGGTGCTTTAATCCAAGAGAAACTGGAAGAAGAGATTTACTCCAGAGTAAGCAAATATTGTAAAAAAATTTTGTTAAATAATGCTTTTTTAGCATTCTGTAGGTACTGCAACTAAAGGATCTGTAAGGCAGATTTCCCCCGATTGATGGCAGTGAGATCAGAGTGACCTGAATGCAGTGCAAGTCAAAATAGAATTTGGCAATTAATAAAATGCTTTAGGACCAACATAGTGATCAAATCGTCTGAGCCTGCCTGATTTATGGAAGCTGAAGGTCATTCCCAGGATGTCCTAGATTGGTTCTGGGTCTCTCTTGTTTTTGCTTTTTGATGGACCTTGCAAGACAAAAGGGTAAATAAATTGATGTGACAGTAGGTAACTGTGCCCATTCTGGTCTTCCTTGCTCATCCTTTGGGGTAGGAGTCTTGGAATAGGACCCTGAAAGATGTTATGGGGGCTGAGACCTTCCGGATACCCTGAGATTTCTTCTTGGAAAAACTGTTTTCTGTCTGTGCCAGTGTCACAAGGTTGAAGCTTTATGGGTAGGAAGTGCCTCTGGAGCAGATGGGAGGCAATGGAGCTGAAAGGTAGAGAATTCCTTGGATCTCTCTGAAGGAAGAGCTCTTCTCTCCCTTCTTGAAAGGGAGTCAAATTGTTCCTGAGCAGTGAATGAGTAGTGCCTTCCTGAAGCTCTGGGATCTCTTCTCGTGTTTATGAGCAAGGTGGGAGTTTGTGCTGTACCACACATTCCCTTTTTCCCCTAATAGTTCCACTCTCCTGATTTTTGACTCTCACTCACTCCATACCTAAGATTTAAGAACTTCAGTGTCAAGTGAAGCTTCACTTTTTTCCTCTTTGTTTTCCTCCGTGCTTCCCTCAAAGGCCATCTGCTTTTCCTTTTCCCTCCTTAGGGAAGAAACCTGCTTTAGGGAGCAGATCACTGGCCATGAATTTTTAAACAGGACACTTTAAAACAGGACCCTTTAAAACCCCCACAACTTGTGCTGCTGAAGTACTGCCCACCCAGCTGCTTTTGAGGGGCTGGATGGAGCTGCCAGTGGCAGGTCTGGGATAAAGGACATGAGAAATGCCAGGAATACAAATCCATGTTTTCTTTCTGTTTCAGAACATGTTCACACTTCTAGGAGAAGCCCTCAGAAGCTTTCCCGAGAGGATCCCGGGGCCTTGTGGCAAAGGCTGAAAGGTCAGAAAATGTAAGGCCTGAAAGTGTTAAAATGACTCAAGGACATAACGAAGTGGGAGAGTTGCACATGGAATACCAACTAATATGGATATAACCTGCTCTGGCAGTGATGAATTGGGTGGTGGTTTAATATTCCTGCAGGTGGAACCAGATATGTCCAGCATGTTGTGTCTGGGTTCTGAGTCAACTCTTTATTCTTCCTAAATGCAAATGTTATAATACATTTTAATCCATCTCTATATGTTTTTCAAATTACAGAAGCCAAGAGTTTCTATTATTAATCTGGCAAGTAATAAGTATTGTTTTTTGTAGGATTGCTGTGGGATTTCAGAGCAGCTCACAGCTGCTTCCATCTGTAAGAAAAATAAATGATTCCGTTTTTCAGGGCGGGGAGGTGTAATTACTGCATTTCAGCTCAATCTTTGCCCACTGTCTCATGTTAAATTGAAAGTGAGGGCCCCAGGTGGAGGAGAAAAAAAGCAGGTTGCAAAGTAACTATAGAAAGCAGTAAAATGAAATGGGTATTTATAGAAGTAAAATAATGAGACTATAACAGAATTAAATCAGCAAGACTGCGGATGGCAACGAGATGAGAAATTATAATAAATTAATCATGGAATCTGTATAGGAGAGGTGTCCAGGAGAGAAAAAACAACATGGATGAAAATTGGAATAAGACGTTGAATTATATTTTTGCCTGTTTTTTTTTTTTTGAATATACTTCAGAATTTGTTGTAATTTTTCAAGATGACAAAGTCACTGTCTTTGAAAGAATATATCTGGGGTTCAGGATACATGCAAATAAAATGGCTTTGTGATGGGAATCTCAGTGGGTTGGACAATGAAATCATCTTCCTAGTGGCCTCAAAAGCCTTCAGCTGATGTGTGGGCACAACTGCAGCCCACCTTTGTGATCAGTGCTGGCAGCAAGAGCTCGTCCCATTGCTCCTGCTGGGACCTGGTGGCCTTGTGTGACTCACAAAGTTACTGCCTCTCATCAGTCTCCAGCTTCCTGACTTTCTGTGCATTCAGGCCTCTGGAAATCTTGAAGGGATATCCTTGCCTATGAACTCTCCCTGAATTTTTGTTACAAAGCAAAGAGGATTAAACCTTCCCGTTGCATTTGATTTTTTTCCCATTCTGGGACAAGGAAAATGCACTGTTGAAGTTGGGTTTGTATTTTCTCCCCGTGTAGTTGTTCCCTTCTGTGTGCTCTGTGTTTCTAAGAGTGCTTGAGGGCTGTTTAGCCTCTTGCTTTCCCTTCCCACAAAACGATGGAAAACCTGAAGAGAAGTGCTGGATATGGAGGTAGGTGTTGGCAGATTACATGGTTACCTGTGTATTGAATAAACTCTCCTGGTTTCTTCCTTTTCCTCTGTAATCCTCAGAAATGTTCCTGCCTTCCAATCTCCCAAACCTTTCCTTTTTAGATGCTCCATCTCTGTTCCTTATTTGCTTTGCTCTGCACTCCCTGTTTCTTCCGAGCCTTTGGAATTCTTCAGCCATCTGCAAACATGAGGCAAAGGGCACCCAGTGTTCCAAGTGGAGACTCATAAGGGCTGGCAGGTGAAAGAGCCGAATCTTCTGAAAATGTAATTTTGTTGGTTTTGCCAATGAACACAGGTTTCATCCCTTAACCCACAGAAAGGGAGCTCCAGGACTCTTCTTAAAAATATAATCCATATGTTTTGGTATTTTTCCTTTGATAGAAGCTTTGTAAAGATACTGAAATATTTCTTTGCAGCTCCCATGGAACCTTCCTGTAAATACATTGAACTGTGAGTTATTTGGGTTAGGAGTCTGACAATGTTTGTCTGTAGAATAGTTGTCATGCTCACACACAGTGACTGCACAGCTCTTGTTTGTTTGCATAAATGTTACAAACACAACTCAGGTAACTCCTCTGAAAAATCAAAGTAGATTTTGCTGCTGCCTCTTGGATGCATTTCCTGCTGCTCCCTACACTTGTTTCATTTTTTTATCAAGGATGACTCCAAGATCTGAGTGTTTGCCTTCTGTTTTCTTGTAGCAGCTCTTAGGGATGTACTATGGAATGAATGATCCAGGCCTCTAAATAATTTATTTTATAATCCTACAGCCTTTGAGGCTTGAGAGATCCAAAAACTCTGACAGGGAGATTGTGGGAAAGAGAGTAGATCACATCTTTTCCTTTTTTTCCCCTCACAGAAGCTCCCCCCACCAGCAGCAGATTTTTCTTTTGATCCAAAGAAACACTCTAAAACTCTGATCAAGGAATATTGATTCATCTGCTGCCTTGTTTGTGCTTTCTGGGGTATAAAAGAACTGTGATGGCTCAAGGGGTATTCGTATGGAAAGCAGCTGTGGCTCAGCAACAAATCAATCTGCCTGGAAAAAATGCTTTGGAGCTTTGTCTTTCTGGCCTTCATGATACACACAGTTGCATTATTTAATCTTCTGAATGATTGGTGATGTGAGTTTATTGCTCTGAACTTTGTGCAAATAGAAGTTTATCGTATTTATATTATGTGTATGCTGATAACCACTTTTGTGATGTCATGCTTTATAACTGGCCCTTTGGATAAAGTTGTATTCTTCAGATTAAAATCAGTTTTCCTGTGGACTGCAGCAAGGGAATTTCCACTTCCATTTGCCCTTGCTTCTGCTATGAAAAAAATTAACCTGGCTGCCAGGCACAGTCATTCCTTAGTCTCATTTCTATCCATCTCTTGGGCCATCTCTTTGTATCTCCGTCTAGGATAAACTTCCATCTCCATCCCAACAGGCTGCTAGCACAGGTTTGATGGGAATGAAGTTCTAGTGTAATTAACGTGCCTGGATCTGAGCTGGGAACAAAGGTAAATATATTCAAAGATGAACTGGTCTAGTGGAAGGTGTCCCTGCCCATGGCAGGGGTTGGAACTGGCTGAGCTTTAAGATCCCTCCCAACCCAAACCAGTCTGGGATTCTGGGATATTTAAATAATGATTTGCAGCTACTGGGGGAATATGTCGTAGTCCCACTGGTCCAGTTTAGGATCATAGAATAGTTTGAGTTGGAAGGAACCTTCTAAAGCTCATCCAGTCCCACCCCCTGCCATGGGCAGGGACACCTTCCAGTAGCCCAGGTTGCTCCAACTTGGCCTTGGACACTTCCAGGGATGTGGCAGCCACAGCTTCTCAGGGCAACCTGTGCCAAGGCCTCACGACCCTCATTATAAAAACCTTCTTTCCTATATCTAATCTAAATCAACCCTCCTTCAGTTTAAAACCGTTATCCCTTGTCCTGAGGCAGCAGGTCCTGCTGGGAACTTTGCCCCCATCTTGTAGGCCCCCTTCAAGTGCTGAAAGGCCACAGGGATGTTTCCCTGGAACCTTCTCCAGGCTGAACAATCCCAGCTCTCTCAGCGTTTCCTCACAGGAGAGGTTCTCTGGCCCTCCAACCATCTTCATGACCCCCTTACATTAATCTTGAACCTTTTTCCTGAAGTTTTACTAAAAACTGAAACATGCAGGCTGCCCCGGGGTCACTCCCTGACCTTCCATAAACCCATCTTCACTCCTGGCATTGGGCTGTGGGGAGACCCAGGTGTTTTTGAATTCTGTTTTTTCCCATAGCCAGTTTGATCAGCTTCCAAGAAGAGGAGCTGAACCCTTTTACTCATATTGGGAGCTTGACAAAGAACTTTAAGCTGGTGGCACCAGGGACAAGGTTTTGCTGCTGGAAGGGTTCATGTTCCCAGTTCTTCTTTGGTAAAACCCCAGACTGCAGCTTTCAGGGCAGTTATCCCAAATCATCCATAGATCCTCCAGCAAGAGCTGGAGTGCTTCTAGCCCTGTATTTTTAAAGCATTTTCACATGTACTTGCATTCTTCAAAGTGTAATTTTATTACCACTCAGATTTTCAGAGAATGAGTTTTTATTTTATTTTTATTTATTCACTCCCCTCAGTGAGACACTGTGTGTGTGCGGATCACTCCCTGCACCAGGGCTGGTGTTCTGAATGCCATTGGCTTAAAAAATAGGCTGGAATCTGGGCAAAACAGAGATTAATCTTAAAAATACTACATTTGCATTGTTTTCATGTCTCTTTTTCCTCCACAACTGATTCTGCAGAATTTTGGCTGCACTGACAAGATCTGGATGGGGGAGGCTGGGACATGTGTTGGGGTGGATCCCTTATGTCAATAAGGTACAAAGTTCTCCATCTTTCAAATGACCTATAGAATTGATCATGGGATTTTAAAAAAAAACAAACATTTTCCAGCTTTTGGGCATGGATATTCACTGCTTGTTTATTCATGTATTTATTTTGTAATAAAATAATACTGTTCTCACAGACTGGTGTGTATGACCCATAAATACCTCTGTAAAATATATCTGTAGCATGGAACAGAATCTTTAGAATATTCTGTGAAAATTCATATTTTTAGTTGGTAGCACTTCCAGAACATTTACATCTTTCATCTTGACATTTTTAAGTAGAACATTTTTTTTTTGCCTACAGAAGTAAGTTTACAGCATCATCACAGTATTATAGCTCGTTTAAAAATACATACAGCATTACTGGTAATTGCAAGCAAGCTATATCCTTGCGCTGGGGGCTTGGTGGTAACTTTACACGGTTTCTACTTTGTAAAACAGTTACATCTATTAATATTACATCCATCACTTTGTTAGAAAATATGACTTAGAGATGCTGCACAATAAATCTGTAATTTCTCTGTGACATGATATTGCAGGCTCTGCAAATAGAAACACACTGGTGTATGGTTGGTTTAAAAAGAATTAGAAGCCTAGTTAAAAAAAGGGTGGTGGGCTTACCCTGCCCTTGGGAAATTGGGTTCCACTAGTGTTGGATGTCCTTGATCCACTTGTGGCTGGAATGCCACGAGCACCTCTCAGGAAATCCTGACTTAAATTTCAGGTTTGGTCCTGCTTGGAGTGTCACTGAAGACACGAGCAGTTCTTCAGGACCAGGCTGCTGCTCTGAGCATCTGGGAATCGGATTTACTCAAGACTCTAGTTGGATTTCAACACCTTCAGCCCATGGTTGCATCAGTGCAAGACAACATAACTCCACTGGTTTGGATCAGTTGGTTTCCACTGACCAAAATCTGACTTTTTACCTTCCAGTGGATTTTTAAAAGAGTCTGAGCAGCAGATTTGAATTTACTGGTTTAGTAATACAGAGAATAATGATTAGAGTCGGGCAGGACCTTAAAGCTCATCCACTGCCACCCCCTGCCTTGGGCAGGGACACCTTCCACTAGCCCAGGTTGCTCCAACCTGGCCTTGGACACTTCCAGGGATGGGGCAGCCACAGCTTCTCTGGGCAACCCGTGCCAGGGCCTCCCCACCCTCACAGCCAAGAATCACTGCCACAGGTTGCCCAGAGAGGTTGTGGAGAGATTAAAATGACAAAAGAGATTAGAAATAAATGATTGTGTATGTTTTACTTTGCACAAATGAGGTTAAATATATAAATATATATATATGTATAATAAAACTGTAGGAAATCTCCAAACTGCTAACAACTCTTAGAAATTAGATAAAACAAGGATGTATTTGCTTGGAAATCTCATAGTTGGAGTTCTTTCATTATTTTCATTTCCAGGTAATTCAAGAGTTCTTCGTGGTGGATCCTTTTTTTCCATTTTTTTTTTTTTTATGAAACAAGTCCAGATGTGCTTTGGCAAATGCTCTTTTCATGGTCTTTCTGATACTCCTCTTGTGCTTTCTGCAGTCTTTTCCCTCTAAGTTTCCACTTGTGGAAGCAGTAGGTTATTAGGGATGTCATTACCAAGGAGAAGATGATGGTCAGCACGACGATCAGCGCAATGGTGGACGACAGGGACCCCTCCAGCTGCTCACTTTCAGTGTCCCTTGTGGTATTTAATTTAGCAAAGTTTTCATAGTCTGGTGAGGCCAAAAGTGCAGGTCCAGGGACCTCTGTGAACTTGGGCCTCATTTGGATTCAGGAGGTGTTCTCAAAATTCCCAATGAAGCAAGAACTACGATTCCCTTGGCACCTGTGTCATCCAGGAGATGGTTTTCTCCTCAGGTACTCCAGGCATAGGTGAGATCAGAAGTGTTCTTTGTTTTGGAAGGCAGGGATGGCAGGAGTAACAGCCTGTGGCACAAAGTTTATAGCACAGCTCCTCTATATCCCAAGT